CACAGCATGTGATCAGTGCCATATTCAGACAAAGAAACACTGACAACAGAACAACAGACCGCAGAATGAAGTTATTAGATATTAAGGATGTCTACGAAGTATATGTATGCAATTAATATAATGTTAAACATTCAGTATTAACTCATTTATAGCTGATGTGCGTGAGCTGATAAACAAATTGAGCGCGCGGTGGCGCAGATGCGCAAGCTTGTCGAACGAATATCCCTTTCTCACAGACATCACTGTTTGTAGTTCAGTCGGATGTCAAACACAAGTGAGTAAACCAACAAGTTACTTAACGGTAGGGAGAGAGAGAGAGAGAGAGAGAGAGAGAGAGATGAGAGATAGAGAACGCACTTCTGTTGCGTGATCTTTTTTGATGTTCGCTCACTTAGCAGACGCATCATTTGGATTCAAACTAAATCGTAAATATAATACAAAATTGATAGGGGCATTTACTATAAACATCATTTATTTTCAACCTTAAGCATAACACGACTTTATGGCAAAAGTGAAACTAACAACCTGTGTGAAATGCGCTAGGCTGTACTGTACTTGTCCCTCTCATTCTGCACCAGTACAAATACGTGCACGCATTGCGCATGTTTTACTTGCTTCATGAGTGTTTCTGCATTATATGAGTGGCTTTAGAATATAAATCGCAGCACGTTTCAGATGGAAAAAAACGAGCCTTATGTTTCCGAAAATATCATAGTTAGGAGATTTATAACGAGTGGTTCCCTGCATTATTACAGCAAAACGCATGATTACAGTACTGAGCCGCTGCAATGGAGCAGCTCTAATGCTATTAAATAAAAAATGATGTACCATAGAGCAAAAAAAAAAAGAACAGTGAAAGTAAGAAAAACTTGTAAAATACATTTTAATGGGCATAATTAAGTGTGAAAATAACTGAAGAATATACAGTCAAACCAAAAATTATTCATTTTTTTTTACTGGTGGGTGTAGGACACTATAGTTCAAGTCAAGTCAAGTCTGCTTTATTGTCAATTCTTCCACATGTACAGCACATACACACAGAGAATTGAAATTGCATTACTCTCAGACCCTTGGTGCATACAGATAACAAATACAGATAGGTACAGATTAAATACAAAATACAAAATACAACTATACAAATATACAAATAAGGTAAAATGTAAGAAAAATATATATATAAAGCACAAGGCACATGGCAGATAGAGTGCAAACCAGTAAAAGTAAACAACAGTGCAGATATAATGATTGTAGTGCAAAAAACAATGATTTGTAGTGCAAAAGAGCTTATTTCGACTGATTAAAGTGACAGTGTGTGTGTGTATTTGGGAGGGGGGGAGTGGGAGAG